CTGTGGCTACTGTATTTTCAAATATAGCAAGGTAAGTATCTTCTAAATGTGATGCTTTTTACTTGGTTTATTCACAAATGAAAATTAAAGCAGCCAGTTGTATATATGAGGAGGAAAAACAGAAACTCACTTGGTAAAGCGAGTTGCAAAGAAACTCTAGTGCATTAAATACTGAGGAGTGAAAAGAGGAAGATCAAGTTCAACCTTAATCCTTTTGTGCTAAAACTTTCAGTTGGACATTTCCTACTCTATTTTACTTTGGCCAGCCCACTGCCTTATTATACTTACCAAAATTCAAACTTTTAATGCTCCACTGATTTTACATCTCCAGAATTTCTCATACATCCAAACAAAACAACCTCTCTGCTCTGCTTTCCTACCTCAATTACAGGGCTACTAACCTTGCTATGCCTTTTAATAAAGCTCTCAATCCCTCTTTGCTATTTCTATTTCTCAGCTTTTCATGCTAAACACCTACTTTGCTGAAGTGATTCCTTGGAGAACGTACCTCATTAATTTGATTACTAGTTTTGAGATCTATTCTCCATTACTTGCACAGATCAAATGGCAATTGTGCTTTATTCCTTGTCACACAGAAATGGCACACTAAAAAGCTAGGAAAGCTGTTTGCTGGATCAGCTCCACTTCCTGCTAAATAGGTTCTGCTTTTAACAGCTTGTGAGAAGTGTCTATCATATGTACACATATATATCACATGAACAAATATATGTTCATGTACATATACATACGTACACATGCAAGCAACAGAATGTGTAAGACAGTCTACTATACAAAAATAGAAACATGTTAGAATTATTTAATATTTCTAGAGTCCTTATCTTAACCCAAAATCTGATTGGGTTGATAAAAATCTATTCTACTCAACTTTATTTCCAAACTAGAAACAATTGTTTCCTTCCTCATAATTTTTATTCTCTCACTTCATTTACTTTTCCTGCCTTTCATGTCACGTGAAAGAAATACATTTTCTGTGATAGTAGTACAAATTCTCCTTCATGCCTATATCAATGTGCCCTCAAGAAAAGTTCCATACATGTTTCAGTCAAGTAAAATAAATTACTGGTAATTTATCCTACACAGAGAGTGTGTTAGGTACTGTAGATCTCTTCCCAGAAGAGTTCAAGCGCAAGTGAAGTTATGAAGAAAGCTGAGAAACTGTATTTTCTCAGGGAAATGCTGAGATGAAAGAATGTTCTGTCTTCATAACTTCTGAAAAGTCTTAAACAGAACAGTTGCTAATGTCATAACTGAAAACTGATGTAAGAATTATATCAGGGCTGTATCTTTATGGCACCATCACCACAGACAGACCCTAATATAGTCAAATTTCAAAAAGAGTAGTTGAAAATACTTTGAGGGTACTGTGTCCGGTAACTATCTGTTATCACTATGGTTGCAAAAACAAATATTCACTATTGGAATGAACTTCATAGGAATAAAAGAATTTAGAGGAATGAAAAAGCTTACTGCTTGCATTAGGATGGGACCTAAACAATTTAAGGAATGATGAAACAGGCAGGATCAGCTCTGATCTTCCTGAGGGGTGGCTGTGTAGTCTGGGTTCTGATTGTGTGAGGGTATGCACACAGTCTTCAGTGCACCATCTTATGATACAGCAGTACATTTTACAAGTTTAAGTTTTGTTTTGAGGCATAATCTCTGTAACTGAGAGTTCAGCCCATTACTACATTTTTGCTAATGACCCTGGAAACCATGTTGTCCTCTAGTTACAAACAAATAACATGATAATACATAATGGTATAATGGTTAATAATTGAATTTTTTTGTAATCTCATCACTTCAACTTTGTAGTATTTGCTTATCTGTTTTTTTTCTGAAACCCTCTCATTACCTTACAATGCAAAACTGTGACATCAGAAAAGAAAGCCTGCTCTTAATAATGAACTAATTGATGTAGATTTTCACCTCTCTCTAGTATCCCCATCTTTCTTCTCATCTCCTTTTCTTATCCCATGCTGTGCTTCGCACTTTATCCTTATTTAATTTCACTTCTAGGAAACTCAAAGTCACCAATGAACAACAGACTTGAGTCAGTCATAGAGTCAGCATTGCATTTGTCAAAGATTGCAACAGCTGCTCTAAACACACAGTATCCTAAAAAACCCAACTTCATCAATGAAGCTCGAATTAATACACCAGAATATATTCAACTGAAGGAGAGAGGAGATTATTAGTTTTTTAACAGATACCTGTCAGTAACTTCTACCTCTGATTCTCAGTGAATTTCTGTTTTTCATGTTCTGTCTCAGAAATATTTCTTATCCTGATATCCTGATGAGTCTTATTATTTTGGTGTTTACACATTGCTGATGATTGACTGGGCACACGATTATTGGTCAGTAGCAATTTTTTGCCTTCAAGACACAAAAATCAATTGTTGTTCCTCTTTTAAGACTGATTTTTGGGGGGAATAGAAGGTATTTCCCTTGTGGAAGTGGAAAAATACTAAGAGAAGTGAATCTTTCTTTATTCTGGCTGATTTATTTCAGCCTCAGACAAAGAGCTTTGGGGAAATTCATGTGGGCTGAGATGTTAAAGTTCCTGTATATATTATAGATTTCATATTCTTATCTTCTTTGGCATCATTCATGTCTGGGCAGGGTAGACCTTGTCAGACAACTATTTTTCTTAGTGTTCAGATAGGCACTGTGGAGCATTCTGTTCTTTAACAGTACGTAACAATTGTCTAATACACACAAATGATTCTTAAATACTGCCATTGAATTTAATTTTTCTCATTTTTCAACTCCTGACACTAACCACTTTAGTTTTGCTTTATTTGTGGGTTTTTTTCCCCCACCGTCTATTTAAACAAAATGTTTCATTCTAACCTATTTAACAATTGGAAATTTTTAATTCCTCAAAAAATCGAGTTAGGATACAATATTAAATTCATCCTAAAGAAAATATGTCATTTGAAAGAAAAGGTATGGAAATTATTAGTATAATTTGTAACCTATCTAGAGCATATCTAAACTCAGAATCTAGGCTTCTTAAAAAAAAAATCTTCATACTAATGTTAATTTTGATGTATGACATCTTTATTTTTTTTACTATGTGCTAAGGTTTAGGGAGGAGAAAGACTGGGGAAAAATGCCAAAGGGATATGACCACTTGAAAAGCAATAAACTTGGTAGTTTGACTCCTTGCCCTGAGGATGCATTGGCATCTGAGGGCTCCTTCCTTGTGAGTTTGATGGCAATCTGCATTTTCATGAACTGTCAGACATGATTGCCAAAGGTGATGATATTATGGCAATGAGATTATGACAAAAAGATTTGATTTTTTGTTAGAAGCCTTCATATGCATTGTCATAAAATGCGAAGAATTTGAAACTATAGGCAATGAGAACTGACACAAAATTTCTAACCCCAAAATTGCAACTGTGTGATATTTGTTTTGTATCATCATATAAAGCCTCAGCAAAATAAACTGGAATGAGTGGACAGGATGTTATCAGATAGGAGTTTTGAATTTTGAGTCTTTTCTCTATCTCAGAAAGGCACTGTGTAAATATTGCCTTTTAAAATGGCTACCTGAGATACTTGGAGCTTAGAACATTTCCTTCCAGTTATGTCTATCAAAGCAAATAATAAGCAGAGCTCTTGCTGTGCCACTTTTTTCATTATGCTTGTCAATGAAGAAGCAGAATAAAATTCTCAAGATGTGAGGAAAATGGAACATATTTAGTTAGAGGGATCTTGGATTCACTTATAAAGTATATATTTTCTTTGAAAATGTTAAATTGTTTGAGAGATGGGAACTGAGAATAACAGCTTTTATTTTCTAAACACCAATCACACATGAGTGAAAAATATGTATCTTTGTAACTCTAAGAATAGGCTTAATTTTTTGAAGGATCACCCAGATAAGCACTTAAAGGAAAGGTACAGATGGCTGCATGTACATCCTGGAAACTCATGGTTGTTATAACAAAGGCCAAATCCTTTGACAGATATTCTGTACATATACAGCTATCTTTATGTTACTTTAGAATTCTGCAGGCATAAAGAACTCAATTGCACATAAGGACAAAAATAGAGGCATCCATTGAAAGACGTTTCAGCATTTTGTATAGTAAAATGCAAAATGTGTTATCTTAAACTCAATAAAATCTTTTAAAAGACACCTAAATACTCCTGTTATATTGAGAAAATAGTTTTTATATGGATCTAATCTGCAGCAATATATATTGGCTGATGTGGTTGTGTTTTGTTATGGTTTCTTAATTCACAATTCTTTTGGCAGAAACCCTGTGCCTGATTTCTGAACTTAGCTATGCTGGCAGATATTCCTGCCTAGCTTGTTAAATCATCTTCTGAATAACAGCTGATTTCACATTTTAAGCATCAATATATAACCACATAGCTGAAATCGGAATCAAGTGCCTTCAATCAAAAATGTGAAAAATAAGAAAAAGCAGTCATCCCCCCCCCGCCTCCAGCTTTCTGGCTGCCTGCCATCTTGTAAAGATATTTCAGTCTCTGCAGCTCAAGCCTTTTTATTCTAATGCCTCCTTGTGCAAATGCATGTTCTCATGTGTCTTTCTCTTTGCTGCAGGCATTGTGCACCTGTTTGAAAGGACATAACTGTTTTTTTTCTTTTGCCATTTCCCAACTGCTGGCTCTTTTGGCAGGAATCTGTCTCCAACAGCTGAGAAGGCAGAAAAGCTAAAGCCCTTGTGCTACTTAGAAGATCTACCTACCTTCAACTCTGTGAAGAGCCGTGTGACACTACTGGAACTTGCTTCCCTTGGATTCTTGTGTACAGATTGAAATTTACACAGTAGTGGAGCTTCGATTGTTTATTGCTAGGGACAGGTTTCTGAGGGGCAGTCAAGGGCATAGATAATCTTTTTCTGGCCTGCTGCTTAGCTTTTCAATGTTGTCAACACTCCTTATAAAAATATGGTTCTACTCCATATTGCAAAATTTGATATACCCATTTCTCTTTTACAGAGCTCAAACCCATATGGCATTTGCCTCCTGCTGATACTTCCACACCAGGAATCTCTCCAGCAAAGCGACCAAGACTCAAAGAGGAGTACATAATATGTTCTTTGCTCCTTGTGCTCATATACCTAAGCCCTGTTCTCTAAATCAGAGGCCCAGAGAAACCTCTGGTGAAGATCAGGAGCTCCTACCTACAGTTCAGCCTGGAAGTTGGAGAATTTCCTATTCTGGTAGTCACAGAAATGAATCACGCTTCCACACTAGTTGTCTATTAGCAGTACTTCTCTCTAAACTTATACAGATCCACTTGGAGAATAAATGCCAAGCCACAGTGCTTCTGCCTTCTGTATCACCAGCAATAAAGCGGCTGAAGTTCAGATGTAAAATGATGCACAAAGCACTGTCCCACAGCTCCTTTGGCTCTAAAGGGGTGAAAAGTGGCAAAGAGTAGTAAAAACTTATTCCAGTCGATAAAGAAACTATGGTTTTGAGTATACACAGGAAACCATTTTTTTGAGTAAGAAGGTATAATTTAGTTTGGCATATACTTGCAAGCTGAACAAAGACAATCTAGGTAACAAATTACACTGTTCTACCAAGTGAATTCATGAGTATAAGGAAAAACAAATTTTTTCTGAAATTACATAACTTACTTTCCCTTCCTGTTCGATGTCTGTCCTTTTGTTCTTGTCAACCTCTATATGAAGCCATATGATGTTCCTACATTATCTTTTTGTTTTTCAGTGTATCTTATTGTATTTTATCCCAGGCAAAATGAATTTTAGGGTGGTGCCCCCAGAAAAGATTTACAAAGCTACCTCTGTGAGAGATGGCTGCTTCCAGATGTGAGTATAATGCTAGTGCAGCCACCTCTGTGTTTTAAATTTTTAAAAACATGTGGTTTCCATTTTGGTAAATTCTACATATCAGTCAGTTCAAGAGACCTGATACATTTTATATTTCTGTTCTTCAATAAAAGGCATTGTCCTGGCCTATCTCCAGCCTAAGGGTAAGAGAAAGTGTTCTGACTATGTTGGGATTTGTTCAGCTTTTCTTCTTCTTAAATCTACAGCAGACCAATGAGTTATGTACACACATGGTAGAGTCACAGCAGGATCTTCAGGTGGTAAAGATCAAAAAACAAAACAAAACAATACAAAACACACACCCAGAAAAAGAAAAAAATAAAAAAAAAAAGAAGGAAAGAGAAGAAAAAGAGGAACCAAGACAAAAAAAATCTACTTATGGAAAAAAGAATATGCTTTTCTAGCTGTGGTTAAACCACAACACCATGCTAACCAGGGCATTACATCAAAAGTATTCAAATTAGGCATTGCCAAAGGTAATGATACATTGGCATTAACTGAAATTAGTGAGCATTCATCATGGGAAGCTTTTTAGGACAAGGATAAAGAATCACATAGAGCTGGTGCTGTTTGGAAGAGAAGAGCAGAGTGGATATTGCCTTAACTTCCCTTTGGTCGTAGATGGCAGAGATAAGGGGGTTATCCTTCCGATGCTGCCTCAAGACCCGGTTAGGAATCTGTTGTTTTCCAAGTACCCCTGCAATGGATAGAAATTTCAGAGGAGCAGAAAGGTCGTAAGCATTGGTTACAAATTCTTGTGTGTACTCTTAAAGTACTATGCTTGGTCTCTATAGAAACAGATCATATTACTACACAGTTACATGTTTATGATGTGTCAGGTGAAAAGCGATAATGCTTGAAAACACATTTTGCATGTGCACAAATACCATCTCAAAGAGAAAAACTACTCACTTGGAGATGTATTTGCCTCTCCTAAAATTAGATGAGAGACGAACATAGAAACCTTGGGAATGCTCTCTGTTTCAGAGGTGACCATTCCTCACTACACCTAAAACATTTCCGTTAAAAAAAAATGAAGATGGGTGTAGTTATGATGAGCACATGACCAAGAAACACAGTTATGAGAAGAGGCAGCAGCCAAGGCAGTACCGACTGTCTCTAGTGAATGGTGCGTGTTGTGAATTGTCTGCCTGTCAATGACTCACCTCTGTAATGTAGAATTTGACCTGTTAATGGGGATGTAGGCTTTTCATTTATTTGAACTTGTCTATACTTGCCAGGATGTTCATGCATTGCTCATGGACATGAGCTGCTCCAAATACAAGCACACAGGTAGATACCTTGGAGAAGTTGTATCCTGAGAGATGTTAAAGTGTTTATTTTATAAGCATCACAAGTCAGTGTGGCATTGCTGGGCATATATTCCCTCTGGCATGCCCAGTACAGGGCCCTTTTTGCAAGCAAAAGGTAGCAGAGAGAGAGGCACTGCCTTAGGCAAACATATCAACCTTCCCAACCATGCTGTGCAATCAGCACCTCTCTACACTTCATGTTACCTCATATTATTCACAGCTCTCTTATCCATTCATTCTTCTGACATCAACAGAATTAAAAAATGCAGGCTAATAGGAACATAAAGACATAAGAGATGAAGAAACCTATTAATGGCTGGACGAGCATCTTTAGATTTAAAGGTAAAAGACTAACTCTTGAGTCCTAAATTTGGGATGTATGCATGATATTCAACTGGCCAAATGCAAAATTAAGTCAGCAGCTGGATTCTTATGCAGACAGTTGTTATGGCTGCTGAGGAGAGAAGTGAATGCAAAAAGTGAATTTTGACACAGCTGGAACAAACCAATGAGGTAACATTTTGTCATTTGTATTTAGCCATAGTATTGCTGACATTGTTCTAAAATTTCATTTTTTTTCATATTTCCATCACTTAAGACAGTAAGTTAATTTTCTTTAGCTTTATTTTTTATTTTTTAAATCTTATTCTAAATAACAATCTTTACCTTTTTTTTTCTTTCTTCTGTTTTCTTGTTTGTACTATTATGCCCTATTATGCCATTTGTCTGTATAATTAAAAAAATCACGTGGTATATATATATCTTACCTCACCTTACCTTACCTAAGTCTACTTACCTCAGATAACAATAACAGATAACTAGGGTGGTAGCTGAAGAAGCTTGGCTTAGTGTTTTGAGTCTTCATCAAACAAAACAAAACAAAATTAGAGTCTTTACTTCCTTTTTATGCTATAGAAGTTATGAATTTCTGTTTTCAGACAAAAGAAAGCTACATTTTAAATGAAGGCAGACACTTTTCAAGAAAAAAAATTCTGTTTAATCAAAAATGCATTTTTCTGTCAAAGAAAATGTGGAGTAGAAAATTCTCAGCCAGCTCACTTCTGTTTCTTATACATTCTCATGGGACTAAGCTTCTTATTTCAAATAGAAGAAAGAGACCTAAAATCCCCAAATCATACATTTCAACTTCCTATCATATGTCAGTCAATTTTTCCTTCAGTTTTCTTTCTCTGCAGTCAGCTTGTATGTTTCTACTTAGGCATTCAAGACTAAGGAATAGTCAGAAATTCATCATCAATCTTTATTTCAGGACAAAATATTTTTGAATGGTCTGTAAGTAATTGCAGAGATCTCTGTTTTTATCAGCACTTCAGGATCCCCCCAAAAACAACCCCTCAATATGATACCTTCTGTTTTCAGTGTTTATTTTTCTCAGTAAAAAGCCCAAACATCTCTCAAAATAAAATGCAATATCTCTCCAACAGGGGAAAAATATTTTTATATTCTTTCTCCCAGTAATATTTTTTCATATAACTTTTTCTTAAACTCATAGAAATGATGAAAAGACAACCATATTGATTATATATTCTTCAGACAACTGTCACCGCAGAACATCATGGTATTTCACTATAGCTTTTGAATTACTGTCTTTGTTTTTGTGTGTAGCTCTGCTGCAGTTTAATAACTGATGGGAATAGCGGTCATGTGCAGAGAGATCTTTATTTTTCCAGTTCACTTTATATTTCTTCTGATCCTCTTCTTATCTTTATTCTGCTTTTAATATGTGCAATTTCATTCTGTCAACATTATAGGAACGTTTATACTTAAAGAAATTGCCTATTTCTCATAGCTGTAGGTACTGACTTTTGTCTCATAGACCAGAATATCGTGGATTAAAAATTCTTTTCTATTGTGGTTGCAGCACAGCGATGTTCTGTATTGTATTAATTCAGAAGTTCAGTACGTAATGAGCTTTCATTATGCCACAACACCACGAAAAGTTTGTTCACGAATTGGATGCAATTGAGGATTCAACTCTTTGCTACAGTTGATAAAGATGTAGCCTGTAACATCATGCACTCACAATCCCTCTTTAAAGATATCAGCTATTTTAAAAAATAATTTTTTTTAACCAGGTGTCTCCTTTAGTAGCCATTATTTTGCAGCCCACAGCCTCTGACTGAATCAGTAAAACTAATTGCTGAATGTAAGACCTCTCAATTTAATTCCAGGAGTGTGTATCACCCAAGGAAAGACCCAGCATTACAGCCTACATAACCTCAGGATCATGAAACCTGTGGTAAGTTCTCTAGTAGCTGACGGATGTATGACAGAAAAAACACCCCAAAGTAGTTATTTGACATGAGACCATAAGTACATGAGTAACCTTACAGCTTTTCAATTTTAAAACAAATATTTCTATGAAACTGCATTTCCCTTGGAGTCATGCTGTCCTGAGTTGCTAGCATCTGAGAAGCATCAAGTTCACCTCCACAGGGATGTCCTCCCTCCTCTAGCTGACTGTTTTCACAAAATGAGTCAGAAATTACTGAGGGTCAGCTGAGCTCTGCCAACTGAAGCCTGCTCAGCTGAGACTGACCAACAGGTTCAGAAGCTAGTATGGTGAGCTCACTGAAAATTCATCAGAGACAGGTGCAAAATGCTACATTTAGTAAGGAATAATCAGCTGTCCAAAGGCAAGGAGAAGAAAGGATAACTAGGTAGCAAAAGAAGATCTATACATCATAATTTATCATAGTTTTCAAATAGTGCTTTGTTATTAAGAAAACCAAACAACACATTAGATTGAATAAATAGGAATACTTCCTGTAAAACAGTCTGAAATACTTTCTCCACCAGAAGATGATTATGGGATGTTTGAAGGAAATGCAAGGAGGAAAACAAAGGTTCAGTCTTTACAACACAAACTCAAAGGAAAGACTCAGCAGGTGATGATATCTAAATAAAGGAGGCCCTGAGGGTGGATATGATGTCTAATGTCAAAAGGGTAACCAGAAAAGAGGAACAGAAAAATTTTATGTCAGATTTTATTCGGGTAGGACAGAAAGCAATAGGCTGAAATTACATCAAGGAAGGCTCAGAAAAGGTAGTATGAAATATTTTTAATACTACAAAAATGGAGCACTGCAATAGATTGGTTGGGAAAATTGCCATCAGAGAAAGTCTTTAAGACAGAGCTAGGCTCAGGTGGCTGGGAATTGTTCAAGAGCTGATAGTGCCTTGGAAAAGAAGAATAGTCTACGTGAGCTCTGGGGCTCTCTTGCCACCCACATTTTCTACTGGCTTGTTAATCTGTTGCTGATGCACAGACTTGCAAACAGTACAGCTGTTGAGTCTCATCTTGTTAGGGAACTGAAATAGAAATAAAAGCTAAAAATTTGAAGAGTGTGTCATCTTTCCTCTGTATTGCTCAGATCTGTTCCTTCTTTACAATCTGATCTTAAACAAATTATTAAAATCAGATTGTTGGGGAGTTTGGTATTTGAACTACAGATGGTTTTTATGCAAAAACATGAATGAAACAATAATTACAGCTGGTAAACAATACAAAGAATTATTTGAATATCTTTGTGCTTTAATGTAAGGAATTCCTTTTCACAGTTATTAAGGGAATTGTTATTTGCTGCTGAAGGTTAAAAATTCTCAGACGTGTTGTTCCCAGACCATATACTAATTTGAATACAAAGCACTTATAATCTGAGTTGGGGTTTTTTGGTAAGGGTAAAATGGCACTGTCTGTTAGTGTTCAATTATTATTCATTGTCTTGCTAGACATCCAGTTAGGAAGCAGGAATCATACGATCTAGTTGATATGACTTTGCCACATGCCACGAACAATAGCTAGTGAACAGCAAACAGCTGAGGCAACTGTTTACATGAATCCTCCAGACTAAAATGTGTGCATACGTTTGAAAATAGTTAAAGCAACTGCAAACATGGGAATAAGTCAGTCACAGAATCACATCATATTGGAAGGGACCTATGAGGATCACAGAGTCCAACTCCTAGCCCTGCACAGGACCACCCCCAAGAGTCCCACCATGTGCCCAAGAGTATTATCCAAATGCTTCTTGAACTCTGTCAGGCCTAATGCTGTGACCACTTCCCTGGAGAATCTGTTGTTCACAGGCACAGAAACTATATGCTTTTAAAGCCAATTTAAGTCCAGCTAATCAGTGAACCAGTCCTCATCATGACCAAATTAGTAAAAAGAGTAGTTTGCTGAAGCAACATGTGAAACCTTAAGTCTGAATTTTGTATGTTTTATCAGCTCAGTAGAACAAGAGGGAGCACAGGCAGCGCTATGGGGAAGGAAGATAATGTCTTCACCTATCACGTTTTGAGTGTGACTGCTGCTTTGGTTTTCATCCTCCAATTATCAGAAATGATCACACAGAAACTAAGAGCTGATGGAACATCTTTAGGCCAGGTGCTGCCACTTATCTGCTCTAGTATCTACTTTTTGCTCCCACACTAATGAAAAATGATTTCAAAAGAAATGAAGATCCTGTTTCAATAAGACTGGGGAAAAGATGTAACCTAAAAAGCTGTCTACAGACTCAGGAATAAGTGAAATGTTTTGACAGGGAAAAATATGTGTTGGCAACATTGCTCGACTCAGATTTCAAAAGTAAAATTGAAACCATACTTCTACAGGGTGCAGACACTGACAACTGGAAGCCTGTTCTGCAATATATAGTAGTTAAGAATATGCCAACCAGCTCCTCCTCTCCCCACTTTCTTGCATGTACAGGACAAATACATTTCTAGGAAAAGAACAATCTGACTTGGTAATTTTTTGAAAACAAACAAACAAAATCCAAATCCTACTCTCATCTGACTATAAAAGGTTCAGAGAATGTACAGAACATCTGTATCTAACTATATAAAACTGCAAGGAAGGAGGTATTCTTCAGACTTGTCTGGTCCTTTTAGGCTAAAACTGGGTTGAGCTCATGCCTGTGTGGTGTCAGCCTACATGAGGTGCAAAACTTGATGCATGAAAGACTCCCATACCTAGAATCTAGACTTCAATATTAAGAATAGTCTCAAGTAAGATTGGGAAGATAGGCTTTGTAAATTCATGAGATCAGTTTGAGCAACAGCTATGAAAAGTGAAGCTCCCAAATCCTTATGACCAGGGAGATACCAACACTTAAGGCTAATATAAAAGCCCAGAAGATAAATATTTCAATTTATATATGTTGTATTCTTAGTTTCCTGGTCATGGTCACTTCAAGATAGCCATGCAGGACTTCTCTTTGTGCAATCAGCAAAATACTTTTGGACCAGAAACTGTGAATAACAAAGACAGTCAGCTATTTCACTAGATCATTCAAAAATAAAATACAAAAGACAGGCAAATAATTTCTCTCAATCTCCTATTGTGTTTATATGAGGAGATCTTGAGATAAAGCAAAGACTCCCTTCCTTGAAACCTATTCCAAACAAAACCATTAAGTAAATCTAGAATATTGATTTTTCTCTTTCCTTTTGGACAGATATTAGTTGTTTCACTGTCTTTTTTTTTTTTTTTTTTCTTCCCGCAACATTATACAAGCTCATATAAGATATAAGACAAATTCCTCAAGGAATTTGTTCTACAACCTTCCTTTAAGGTTTCCCAACTCTATATATTAACTTTCTGCTGACATCTGAAGCTTTGTTTCTCAGGGCACTTAGCAGAGGAGGAAGCATATGTCTGAATCTTTTTTCAAAGAATCCATTCTGCAGATTCTGTTCCCAAAGAAGTGTATTTATAAGAGATGCTTCAGCACTTCATTTGGTTTGCAACACAGATGCTGTTATATTAGTGCTGCAGTGCACAGGGAGTTTATGCGTATATATAGTTCTTTCCTAAGTATGAACTTGACATAGCAGTTGAAATGATGTGGTTCCATGTGCTGGTCGGCTTAGAGAGAGACTCCCTCAGGAACCCTGGGTGATGCTCCTCTCTATCTCACATGCAGAGAGGGCATAGCAGAGCACCCTTCTGTCTGCTCCAGTCATGTCCAGACCAGCTTTGTCCTAGAGGAGGAGGCATGCAGTGGATCTGGTTTTGCCTCCAGCAAAGTGGGCAAAAAGGCCTTTCTGGAAGGCAGCGATAATCCACAGCACCTTCCTCTTCATGTGAGCCATTACATCAAGAAAATCCTTCAGTGTGATGGTGTCATACAGCAGTACCCTGAAATGCTGAGGGTGATGGATGTACTTCAGAACTACATTTATGGGAAACTGCAGCCTAGAGCGTAACAGTGGAGATACATTCCCCACACTCTGTCTTTTCAGTTAATTTTCTGGCTTTGTGGAGTTGAGATAGGTACAGACTATCATACCTTTTTCCTTATGCTCTGCATTCAAATTAGGTAAATAAAGTGGATTTTAAGTGAATTATAAGCCTTATATTCATTTACCACCAAAAAAAAGAAGAAAAGTGTGGGGGAACTGGCAGAAGAGAAGAATGCAAAAGTAAGAAGAAAATGAGAAAATGCAGAGCAAACAGAAAGCAGGGAAGAGGCAAGAAGGACTGAGAATTTTCTTCCCATTTTAAAGGTCATTTCCTCCCTCTGGCTGGCTTCTGTAACAATAGTAATATATACTACCAACACTAACACTTCAGGGGTTATTTTTTAACCTATTGAAAGGATGAGAACATTTTTTTCTGAAAATATTAAAACATTTCGGTAAAAAAAAACCCTACTGAAAATCATCTATCATTGTGCTCATTGCAACAGTGTCTTTCACTTTCTCAAACTTAACATTCAAGTCTTCTGTGGCTGAATAGGTCCCTGGATAATAAGTAGGGATGTGTGAGGGATGGTTAAAAAACCGAAAAGTAAGGATAGAGGGGGGGAGAAGTATAAAGAAAGGCAAGGAAGAGGGATGGAAAGGACTGAAATAGAGAAAAAGAATAGAGATAAAGAAGAGTAAGAGATAAATGGTAAGGAACTTGGCTTTCACTTGCACTGACTCCTTTGTGCAAATCTGACAGTGAAAAGTTGCTCCTATTCTTTTTTACCTCTATTCCAATAAATCTAAGTTGCAGATAGACCTTTCTGATTCAGACCAATAAGGAAAGAGAAGGAAGAAAAAACAGTTCCAGAAAAAGGAAGCAGGAGAAAAAGAGAACTAGGGCTAAAATAAGGAGAAAAAATCTGGAAAAGTTTTTATGAACTTCATGCTTTTCCTTTTCAGTTGTTACCTACAGTTTTTAATAGTTTTCTAAATTAAATGTTTCAATGAACATTTTGGACATTTTCTCCCAAACCGAGCTAGTGAAAAATTTCATTACTATTGCTAGCTTTCAGTCATTTCTACCTTAAATATAAAAGTAAAAATGTGAGTGGAGGGAGTATGATTTAAAGAACTATCAAGTTTTAGCAAATAGAAGATGAAGGAGAATAGTGAAAAGCAAATGAGATTGTTGCATTGAAGACCCTAAGTAATAGCAATATTAAAAATACTGATGCAATCAATCACTGAATGCAACATTTTAATGCACCCTGACAAAATCAAATGCTTACATTCCACTAGAGAAAAAATCATGTGAGTCCTCTTTATAGAAAATATGAGAAATAGGGCAGAAATAAAAATTAAAATGATGTTACAGTGAAAGCTATAAAAATAGCTGAATGTATTTTCAGTTCTCTGGCTGAAATGAAGGCAATATTTTGGATCCAAATAAATATTTTGTTTGAACCCAAATGAAATGTTTTATTTCACTTTGATGTCCTTCGTTTACTTGCAAAATAGGTCTAAATGTAAATTTAGATAAATTTTTAAGCAGAATAACATTTTTTAAAAGTTTTTAAAATGTCAAAATAAACTACTTAGATGTTTTGCAACTCTTTTCCAGGGATATTTTTTCCTCATGTCAAACCAGTTCCATAAATTTGACGCTATTTACAAATAGTTACAGATGCTCTTGTTTTGCATTTCCTGTCTTGTAAAACAGACGACCTTTTCTGACAGGCGCTGTATGCAAAGCTGGAGACTGCTTTTAGACTTCATTTTGTAGCCTTTTATTTCCTTTGTCTTTCATCATGTTTATTCATCGATCTACTGGAAGATTCTGAAAGGCCAAAAGATTCCCAGATTTGCGTTTAAGTTCAAGAGACCTCCTAAACCAACTGCCGTGCTTCCTCTTCTGAGCAGGCCAACATAGGCTGGGTGTAGTGGCACGTCCTGGTCTTTAAGGAGATCAGCACTAATTGCTCTGAGGATCTCCACATGGTCTTCTGCCCTGACTCGATGTTAGCTAGATCTGAAATGGCTCTGACGAAAGTTTCTTTGATCCAGCTGAGGGAAGCACTAATCTTTTTTTCTTGGATTCACCTCTGGAAGTGCCCAGGTCACATCTGCTCTGTGCAGAGCCAAAGATAGGTTGCAGCTGCCTGCAGAGGATCAGGTGAACATACTTTTTTAACCCGTCCTCTGCTTAATGAGGTTGAGGGAACAGGTACCACTACTAAATCAGATTTTTTTCCACTTCTTAGACAATGAAAAAAAAATTCATTGAGCAGACATAATCAGCAGATGTGTTGATTATGAGTGCCTTGTGATCCAGAGAGATATTTGGTCTTACTAGAAGCCTGTTCTTCTCTGGGAGCTGGTTTGGCTCCACTGTTTGCATCCCTGTCCAACTGATAGAACTAATAAACTTTACTGAGGTAATTCCCTCTGCTCTTTGTCAGTAGATCTCAAAGCTGTTCATGCTATCAGTATCCACATTTTAAGTTCACAGAAACAGAGCCTCTGAGAGGAAAAGTGCCTTGCCGATACTATTTTGGCAGAACTGGAAACTGAGCTAGTGAGCCCCATTACAGAGCCCCAAGCACCAGTTAGCCTTTTTAGCTCTGTCACAGTCTATTGTGGTGCTATTATTGCCACACTCAGTTATGGTCTTATAAAGAGTATTTTGTTACCTAATGAGTGGTTTGAATGTGTCTATCAGTTTTCAGGTTTCAGAGCAACGGCTGCTTTAAAATGAAGAACATATTTCAGGTTTTTAAGCAGGATAGGCTCAGGTTTGATTTCCTACCAGCTTCATGCCAACTTGCATTGACTTTTGCAAAGTAACTCATAATTTACTGTGGAAAGAATGGGAACAGGATCAAATGTACTGGGTGAATGGTTTTTAAATTGCTTGTTTTTCCCTTCCTTGACTTTCAGTTCCTATTTTGTTAACCTCGTGTTTTAAAGTAACTGTATGTTATATTTTCTGAAATCCACTATGAGATGTATTCTGCTCTGAATCTATACACATAGCTTTTCCTAATAGTAGTGGAAGTCATGAACATATACTGAATAATACAATGCAGTGTGCATAAATCCTATGGGGAATCCAAGTCCTGGATAGAAAAAAAAAAAAAGAAATCACAATATTTTAAAATGCCAGTTGTAACATTGCAGTGAGTTCCAGGCACATGTTTGCCAGTAATGAATGGAGGAGTGCAGATACAATATTGGAACTGTCTCCTGCAGAGTGGTATCATATATAATCATACATACTGTCAGCTCACTTGATTATGTTCGGGATTGCAAGCAGCACATACAGAAACAAAGGAGAATTTCTTATGTCCCTCAAATTTAATTTTTATGAGAAATATATGGAGGAATTAATCGGTGATTACAGCACAGGAACAAAAGCTCCTGTATCTTTTTATATTTGCATAATAAACACACCTTTGTGAATTCCTTTTAGAAAGATAATCACACATTCAGAAAATTTTGCTTCCTTAAGAACAAACATTTACAGTGTTAAATCTTCATTATAGCAATTTAATTAGTTGCCACATTGTTTCATTTCATAAGCAGCTCACGTTACTAATTATCTTAATTTTGTAAACTCCATGATCACAATTCAATCATTAATCAATATATCAGAAGTTCACTCCATTAGCTGTCGTTTGTAACAGGGCATCTCAATTGATTAGGCTGTAGATTTTTTATGGGTCTTGTTTTATAAATTGAACCTAGTCAAGTAAACATAACATTTGGTAATAGTCTTCATAGCAACTGTCAAAATGACTTATTGTTTTTCTAGTCCTGCATTCCTTTAGAATTAATATTACCTTTGTGCCCTTTATAACACTTATTATTAAAGCTATAAAATTCTCTATGTTTAATGAGTGAATGCTTCATTATATGTATGGTTTGCTTGACAGACTGAAAATTTTTCTAATCTGTTTCTCTTTTCCTCTTGATTGAAGGATTGTAAATATGCAATTAGCAGCTGGAGTAGAAGTAAAAGCAGAAAATGTCAACTGTCAAGTAGCTCCATTGAAAGACACATGATGCTTCAAGCTAAGACAGAAAGACAAAAGCACCTACCAACAAGGATAAAGGTTGCAAAATCTCTGTTTAAACATTCCATTAATCTCTTCCATGAAATAAATATAATTAATACATCCAGAAATAAGGAATCCACTATCAAAACTGCAGTTTACTTTTGTAATAAGGCTCTGTGTGGTAATGCTATACTCTACTGCCAATAGAAATTCTGGATTCCACCTCTGTTATAATTAATAACATATATGCCTTTATGTAACATGTGGCTGGCCGTATCACAGTAGCGCAATTGATTTCCCAGGAATATACATGGGAAAAGGGTGCAATACATCACTGTCATCTAGAGTATATTTCTTTTCTAGACTAAAACATCTAGTTCTACTTGCAAACAGTTGATTGCTTCTGCGTCCTCTGTATGAAAACCTGGATTTGCCTTGGCTCTCTTATGCAATGGCTGACCATGCTTTCGTTCAGCACTGCAGAAGAGGAATGCTGAAAGGAGGCAAGAGGGACATATAGAGATATTTGTTTTCATTGACAAGCCAAGAATAACTGTTTGCAGCAACATGTTATATTTAAAGCCCTATAAAAGCTCTAAATAATTAAAGAGACTGAATTCTCTAGATGTTCCTGGTTATCCATACCAGTAGGAGAGGTTCAGTGTGAGGCACAATGAACAGAATGAACAGGCTGTTTTTAACCTACACAGTTAAAGACTTTGCCAAGCCAAGCTATGCAGAGGTATGAATTCCTGCCTGGACAACTGCCCTGTTAGACTGTCATATTAGACCAGAATTAACCTTCCTATTTCCTTCTCAGAGGCAGTTACCACAGAGGTCCTCAGGGTTTAATACTGTGAAACGTGGTTGTTCAATGTCTGGCTAAATAACACAGGGTTGTGAGAATAATCTATCTATCAACAATTCCAAAAGCTTTTGATGGCTTTCTGGTCAATAGCCTAGTCAGTCTGTCCTTTCCCCATCTTCTTCATTTATTTTCATCTAACTTTTAAAAAGGCAATTAATTATCAGATCAGATTTCCACATTCTACCGGTCATACATATTCAAGTTTATTCCAAATTTTCACAATATGTAACATTTTAGTTTTGCCTGTCATATGTTAGCTAACATGCATTAGGTATATAATCTAAAAATGTCATGTATATCCCTCATACTACCCCAAGTAATATGTACTTGAGTAGCAGGAATCTGGTTTGACATACCAGTTATCACTAGTTAAAACACAGATGAATAATAATATGACTCACTGTTAAGAAATAAAGTGTGACAGAATTTTAATCTACCTGGGTCCAAACTATCCAGGGAAAACCATAAGAGAACCAAGCAGAAACAGGTTGTCAGGAGCTGGAGAGGGCTGGGCGGGAGTAGGAGCCAGACAACAACAACCAAGTGCAATGACAAGTCTATTCGAGTCAGTGGCCTCATCCTACCACCTGGAATGGGGTACAGCCAGGAATAGCAGCCAGAGTCCCCTCAATAGAAACCTGCTTTCCTTCACCAGGTGGCCGTTGAACCAGAAAGAATAGAGACTGCTGGCTCTACACCTCACATGAGCTAAACAGAAATCAGCTTAATTTATGTTAAACAGAAGAATTAACCAAGGCAGGTCTATAAAGGTGGTTTCAGCAGAGAAAACTTTTGCAAATTAGTTAACGAAGACTGCTGGACTGAGGAGTCTCAGAATGTGCATTCAGAGAGAGCTTGACATTTTTTTAGGAAAAGATACTGACTTGTTAGGGTTTCTATCCAAGCACTGGGGGAAATAGAAGGAATTACCAAGCTGATCTGGTACATGATCACCTGGCAAGTTAATTAGTAATAAGGAGAAATTGTACAAGAAAATAAAAAGACCTGAAGTAAGAGTCAAACCAGAGGTCAAACCATATAGGCCTTTAGTGAGAAATTGTGCAAGTTAGACTGATTTGCTTTCCAAACGAGCAGCAAGAAGTTCTGTATATGTACAGTTAACCCTCCTCACTCCCAAATAAAAACTTGGAGGATCACTACTTTGCAAAACTGGGCTAGAGATTAAACAAGATCTAAGTATACTCAAAACCTAACTGAATAGCTCCAATTGGTCCTTGGTAAGAATGTTGTCATTTGCTATAAGAATTTACTTGCTGTCAGTAAATATTTCCTGAGATGTTACAATTTCATATCTGAAAGTGACACTAATTTAGGTGCTTCAAAGTGTAAGTCAATTGTTACTGATTAAAGATTAGGGAGAAATCCAGTGTTGATAGGTAGATTACTCTCCATTTGTGGTTTGTTTTTGCTGTTTGTCGAGAAGTGTCAAATGCTGGCCCTTCTCAGCCCAAACCAGGTATACTTTAAATTAGTGTAGCAAACCCCATTAAACACTTAATTACTTTGTTTAGCATTACTTAAACAGACCTGTTAAGCATGTGAATAAAACTTTATCCTGTCTGAGAAGCAATAGCAAATTTGGAATATCTATAGACAGAGAGGGGGCTCTTTGTGTGCCGAATTATCCTCTTTGTGGTCCAGGCCATCAATTTTTAAAGAAAGATTTCTATTCAAGAATGGAAGACTGGATTGGAAAGATACTCCTCTTTCCACTGTTCATATTGTCTGTTTCACAAGAGAAAAGTCTGCAAAGGAATCCAAGCTCCACCTAATTCTCTGAAGATTTTTGCATGTGACATGTGACTTAGAGGAGCTATTTTGGGACTATTTCTAGGATCTGGTTTTAAAACATCAAGTGAAAAACTAAGGAAGTGGGCCAAAAAAGAATTAGAAATAGTCTGAAGTTATACTAGAGAGGATAATATTTTGCCTTTCAATGTGGTTCTTCTTCTCAGGATCCCAGGGAGTGGACACTGCCAGCTGAGCATCTGAATGGATGTCAGGGTCTCAGCTCTGCTTCTTGATCACCGTGCCAGGGACAAGCAGGCTGGGTAGTGGATCCCTCCCTTCTCCAGAGCACCATCTCCTCCAATCCTGCTTCCTCTGTGCTACTCAGGCATTTGCACCATGCCTCTCTTTCTGCCAGGATACAGAAAAGCAGAGAAGAACTGGTAAGGAAAGGGACAAAGAAGAAAAGACATCTTTTTGTATCACAAAGAATTTGTTCAGGAATTTAAAGATTTTAAGGTCAATTTCAAAATTATGGAGTCATTCTCCAGAACGAGAGATATTTGATTTGACGAAAAAAAATCCTCCTTTTTTTTCCCTAAAGAAATTCCCTTATTTTCAATCTACTGAATTTTTGGCTTGTACCACTTCATCAGTACAGTGTAAAGATAGGAGGTAATCCTTGCCTCCACCTCAGATAAAACGCTTGTGCAAAATTCCTTCTAGACAGCTTTCCACTCCATCTTTCTTTGGTTTTGTTTCCATTCCTTTCCTCTTCCCCACCCCATCCCCCAAAAGATGGGGACAGTTTTTCCAACCTAATCAATCACATTTGAATGAATATTTTTAAAGATATTTAACTCAAGACTCTGTTAGATAATCTTACTTAAACCAGAGGAAACAAGTATACAAGACTGGAAGGACCAAATTGAAACCAGAAAAGGAAAACACTCTGATTATAGAATTCCAAAATGCCTGACTACTGAAGATATGAACATGAAACAAAATGCCCTTTGTTTGACTCTCCATTGAGTGCTACCGCCAACATTGCCAGAACCCCCATTATTATTCATAAACAGATTTCTCCAGAACACCATATAACTGTCATGCAAGCAATACAGATTGTATTGTACCACAAGAAATTTTTTTTTTTCCCCTGAAACAGCTTGGCTCAACCTTTCTTTGTGTCTGGCACTGATGCCCATTTTCCTACAAACATATGCAGAGAAAAAAGGAAGCCAATACCTGTAACCACTCATATGCTGAGCTTCCACAGCTGCAACACCCACATGCCAGCTTCCAGAAAATGTCTTTCCCAGGAGTGGCTTTGAGTTTGGGGCTGACTGGTTTCCCACTGCCTCGTTTGTTGTTGGTTAGTCCAGTGCTCATGAGACATCATCATCAAATACAATCACTACTTACATATTGATAACCTTAGGATCAGACTATCCAAATTCATCAAGCTGCATATTTTGCAAGAAGGAGAGAGGAAAGTCATTATTTAACTACTTAAAAATTACTTAAATTAATTCCTGCCCACCTTTCTGAAAAGAAATCAAAAGCTTTAGGAAATGGATGGCAGTCAGTAACAAGACCAAAAACCATATGACTGAAGTGTTGGCAGACCAAGCCAGATGAAGCTGTATTATATTTAATGCAGATGTGTCTTTCACTTTAAAAGAAACAGCTGCTTTTAATTTAAATTTCATTTATGATGGAGTCAGAGATTATCAAATGCCATTCCCCATTCACATCCAGCCCCCATAGGAAGCAGTATTAGATAAAAACCCATGCAAAGAGGTATTCTTTGCTAATGCTGGCTACATATGAGGGAATTTAAGGAAAAGTGAGAATGGTAGACAAAGAATCAGGACACAGTGAGAACAGGCTCTATTTGAAGCTAAACTTTCAGAGAATGATAGTCAAAGACTGTGCAACCTCATAGAGCATAAGATCAAAGGTCTATCTAGCCTGTCTCTAGCAGAGGGCCAGATACTATAAAATGACTGTGAAAATCAGAGGTTTTGGGGAGGGATCATTCCCGTTCCCAATTTGAAAGACTTATGATTTATAGTCTCCTTGAGACAAAGAAAGATCCAGGCCATCATGTTTAATCCTGTCATTAATTGATGTTAGTAATAGTATAGGATTTGCTATAGGAGTTGGTCTATGAGAAGGCACTCAGATCTAAAATTTTAGCTTTCTTTAAATCATGAGGTTTTTCCCTGTGACCTGCAACTCTAGGTTTTTTGAAAAAGAACTGCTAAAAATAAGGCAATAAGAACACTAGCTACAGGTCATTACCCTATGTATTACCCTACAAAATATCTGATTTCTATTCTGTCATGTCATTGTCTTCTTTTTCACTGAGTGTTGTTTATTTAGCTTACAAATGTTTAGCATCAAATAAATTTTATTTTCAATTATATCCCTAACCCACTTCTGTGAATGTAAATAAAATAATAACAAAAAAAAAAAAACTACAAGGAGTCCAAATTGCACTCAATTTTTTGTTCAAAGATTAGAAAGAGATCAGTTAAAAAGCATGACTGATCTCTCTGATATACCAAAGCAGAGACATCTGCATCCAGGCTTTTAACTTAAAATCATTTAATCTGCTTTCTTTTTTCATAGAATCATAGAACTGTAGAATCATAGAGTAGCTTGAGTTGGAAGGGACCTTAAAGATAATCTAGTTCCAATGCTCCTGCCATGGGCTGGGACACCTTTTACTAGACCAGGTTGTCCAGAGCCCCATCCAACCTGACCTTGAACATTTCCAGGGATGGAGACATCCACAACCT